AATCTGTACCCAATTCCTTATATTTAATAAATGCTACTTCAACTATAATATAAATCAAATTTTATAATACTCCTTTAGTCCTTAATATATGGCCTAATTATTGAGTTGATTTGGATCATATATATAAGACTTATTTCTAATATTTATCAAATTTTTTCAAATCACTCCTATAGATACTCCTTTAACCATAATCAGGTAGAAGAGGGAGAGAGAATATTAAGGAAGATGATTATAGTGTTTTAGGAAAAACATGTTATATTTTTTATAATTAACTAACTTATCTAACTTCTTTAATTTAATTAAATTAGTTAAATAGGTCTTACATTAAGGACTGGAGGAGTACATCACTATAAATCCATAATACATGATAATGAAAATTTTATTTTTATATAACATATTGAGTTTTTTTAATTAAAAAGTTTTGCAAGATAATAAAGGAAAATTTCTAAAAAATGACCGTTAAATTTTAAAATTCTAAATCAGTGTTGGTTACTACACTCCTAAAAAATAACTATATTCGAAAAGTAAACGACAACACATTTTTATAGTAATTTCTTATTTAAAATTTTAAAATTTAATAGTCTTTTTTTTTTTTTTGGATTTTCTCGATAATAAACCTCTCACTCATATGAAATTCTACTTCTAGTTGAATCTAATTAAAAAATATCAAATATTGAATCATCAATCGATATATTATCTTATTCCTTAATATAAGAACTGGTTAACTAATTTGAATAGATTAAAAAAACTATTGAGTTAATTATTTGTCATAATTAGGTGTTGTCTTTTGAAAAATATTCTTACTAATCATGTATTAACTAAAACTACTATTTGATTGAATCTTTAATATGCACAAACTACTACAAAGACTATTTTTTAAAAAATACATAGGCACGAGAAATAAAATAAATTAAAATTTTATATTTAAAATAAAAATAAAAATAAAATAATTACTCCCTCTGTTCCTTATTATAAGAGACATTTGGTGTTTATAGCATGTTTCTATATATAAGAGACACTTTAAAGTTGTCTCTACTTTTTTGTGTTGATTTCCTATTTCACCCATATTTATTGTTTCCAACTCACACTCTCTCTCCTTCCCACTTCTCTTTCTTTTAATAAATTACCATTGTTTTATCTCCTTATTAATGAGGGTATTTTTAAAAAAAATTATATTTTTTACGTATTAATTATTCTTAAGTAATTTTAACTGTTTTTTGATTAACGTAATTTAGTTATTCATCTTTTATAATAAAAAACGGAAGGAGTATTATATTAGGGACCGGAGGGAATACCATATAAAAGCGCAACCGTTTTTTGGGTGCTCAACTCGTTGTCTGGAAACATGTGCTAAACCAAACAAAAATTGAATATTTGTAAAATTTGCACTTTCACACTGGCAGCTTTACATGAGATGTCAATGCATAGGGAAATGCATAATTGTACGATTAATGAGAAAAATATATGAAAAAAGAGATGATAAAATTAATTAGAAAAAAATTAATGAAAATACAATCCAAAATGGATCTTATAGAAAAAAGAGGATTAATTGAAAAATCTAACCTAAATCCTGCGAAAAATGAAAAAAAGGGGGGATGGTTAGTACTGTATATTAGAGTTTAGTGAATGAGGAAATTTAATATAAAATCATTAATTTTATTTTAAAAAAAGATTGAACATGGGACCCATGAAGAGGTGGCGCTGATCATGCCTGGAAATGACCTTGGAATTCGTCAATTCGGTGCTTTGAATATTGGGCCGCCCAGACCCCCACCCACTCCCACCTCCCCACCTGATTGTTTTTGCCTTTTTGGGTTAATATCATTTTCTATCCATATAATCTGACGCAATTTTGATTTTAATTGATATAGTTTTTCATTATAATTTTTAATCCCTGTAAAGTATTTTATAAGTATTTAGTCTGAGTTAATGTTATTGATTATTAAGATAAAAAATAAAAATCATTAAAAATATAAAAACCAAAATGAAAACTCGTCTGCTAATAAATTTTGACTTTATTTTTATATTTATGAAGTTATAACGACAAAAAATTATAATTTGAAATCACGCAAACTAAAATCAAAGTTTGATTAATTATGAGCACGTAAAATGAAGGGATCCGGGGTTATCATTGGATTCTCAACTTTCTTTGCATTATATATTTCACTTAATCTCTTATCCTATGTTCTAATTTTCTGTACAGACGCGTTGGCAAAACAAAAAAAAAAAAAAAAAATCTGTACAGACACATATTTTATTCATTAATTTTTTGTGCGGAAAAAAGACAAGTAATGAAGTGTTTTTATTTTTTTGGGTTTCAAACAAGTAATGAAGATTCTAGATGCCAAAATTCCATGCTGTTATCCTCATGTTTTCCCTTTTTTAGCTAATCATCATGATTAATTCATTAATTGTTAAGCATGGTTGAGCATGCTAAATGCTTACGTTAGAGTACTATTCATTATTTAACTTTAATGATGTAATATTAATTTCTGTTCTTAATATCAAAACTAATTAATTAATTTGAATAGATTAAGAAAATTTGTTAAGTTAGTTATCCATAATAAATAGGTGTTGTTTTCCCTGAATACTTGTTGCTAATAATATGTATTAGTTTGAATTACTACCTCCGGTCCTTAATATAAGATCCTGTTTGACTTTTATTTTGATCCTAAATATAAGACCCCAATCTACTTTGTCTCTCATATTTATACATTTTTTTTTCCAAAATAGCCATTTTAACAATAATAGTTCTAGTCAATACACTTGATTAGTAAGGATATTTTAGGAAAGACAATACCTATTTAGGACAAATAACTAACTCAATTTACTTTCTTAATCCCCTCAAATTAGTCAACTGACTCTTATAATTAAGACCGGAGGTAGTACTATTTAATAAAATTCTTAATATGTATAACTATTATAGGGATTACTTGAAAAAAAAAACAGGTACAAGAGTGAAATGACTTTTTATATTTATATTAAGAATATGAGGTAATATGTCATGTTGTCTCTCAAAGCTCTCTCTCCTTTATCCCAGTCTGGCATTCTGCGATACTAATAACTAATAATAATGATTACTGGTCTTTAATAATGTACTAATTTTGTCGTTCAGACTCCCATTCCTTTCATAAGCTTTGAAATCTTGCAACGGTTAATGTGAAAAAATGCTGAAGAAAAAATTAATTGGTAAACCCCTATAGTTTTACATAATTTTTATCATTCCTGTGAAATTTTTCTCATCAAGTTCTTATAATTTCATCAGACTTTCAATTAAGTCATTATAATTTCATAGATTTTTATAGTCTTATGTCACAGGAAGCTGTAATAACATGATGAAAGAAATAAAGAGACCTAATTAAAAATAAAGTAAGATTATAGGAAACTGAAAATTATTTGTTTTTCAAAACAGGATGGAAAACGAATTTTAAAACTGTGATGAAAAGAATCTTGTGAGATTTCAAACATTTACCTGTGTTGCTTTTTTTTTTTAATAATTATTTTGAACACCTCCAAAGGTTTACTATTATTTTCTTCAGTCCAATAGGTTTACATAATGACAACGATGATTAATGTTTTTATTTTTTTTAAAAAGGATGATTAGCTGTTTTTTTTTGGCTTGGTCTTAGTGCTTAACAAGCGTGAATAAAGTTCTAAATAATAATTAGGACTGATTCTGAGCTCAAGATGATGCCCTTTGAACTTTCAACTTAAATTAAAAAATTTATTAAAATAATATAGTGGACTATGTTGAAAAATAAAATAAAATAAAAAGTGCAGAGGGATGCAGGACTATTAATATTTAAATATTCTTCATGTGAATTTATTAATGCGTTATACAGACAATGATTCATGTCATTTCTTTGGGAAGAAACAATTAATAATCAGGCCCCAAAAAAAAAAAAAAAAACTAGCAGCTAGCAGGGCAAGTATTTAAAGAGATAAATTAAAAGAACAGATCACACATCAGTAAAAGGAGTAATGAAATTCAAAATAAAGGCCTTAGTAAATATGGATTTTTTTCTCTTTTAATCGGGGCAAAGTGGCTTCTAACTTGTTTTTATTTTTTATTTTTTGGTTTTTTTCAATCCTTAAAACTTTGTTTATTTGTATATTGGGAAAAGTTTAAATGTGCATTCTTAAACAAAGTTTATTTGTTGGCAAAAAAAGTTTATTTATCCTAATACTACTATGTATTAAGCCAAATAAGAATTTTAAATTTTTGTGATTTTCAATCATTAATATTGTTTAATCTTTTTTTCAATCCTAAATATAGGAAGTAATAACAAATTATTGAGTTATCAGTAACAAGAATAAGAGAGATAGAGAGTACATATTTATTACTCCTCTAGTCCTTAATATATGACTTAATTATTAAATTAATTTTAGTCCTAAATATAAAACTTATTTATCATAATTATCAATTTTTTCTAAATTACTCTTATAGATACTTCTTAAACTATAATCAAGTAGAAGAGGGATGAAGGATATTAACAAAGATGATTATGATATTTTAGAAAAACATGTCATTTATTTATATTTAACTAACTTATCTAACTTTCTGAATCCAATCAAATTAGTTAAATAAGTCTTATATTAAAGATATGAGGAATATTTAATTGAACACTTAAAAATTTCAACAAATATTTTGTGGTAAAAGTGGGTAGGATCTAAATATTTCTTAGAAATTCAAATCCCAACAATGTAATTAAAAAAACACAAAGCAAAGTTTATTTATAACAATTGGCGTCATTGGTTGGCCTAAAATTTGACTTCATTTCAGGTGACAGAATAATAAAAAAAATTCTGGTGTGCCAAAAGCCCAAAATTGTGACCGTGCGTCATTATAGATTAACGGTAACATAGTAACAACAAAATATGTGATTAAATTAAATCTGGCAACTTGCTTTTATTTTTTCCCCTGGTAAAAATTGGTAAATGAAAAATAAAATACAGAGACCAAGGAAACCAACTGGGAGAACAGGAGAGGAAGACAGAAAGAAAGGAAGAGAAAACGAGAAAGAAAGAGGTTGGAGGAGAAAGGCAGAGATTTCAAACCTTTTGAAAATCTCTAAGACTGCTTTGATCCTTCAACAAGTCTTTCTGTAACCCTAGTTCACTTTCATCTTCCGCGGCATTCTTCGCCTCTTCATACGCAATCATTTCTCCCACGTCAACTTCCTATTCTTCTGCTCGCCGGAAATGTCAGGATGAGCCTCTGCCGGAGCATCCGACGGAGTCACTGGTTAGGGTTTTAGTTTCTTATCGAGGCCTCACCATTATAGATCTCTGTCTGATTACCGAATTGGGCAAAAAAAAAAAACGATCATAACCGCCTCGTCAGCGCGGGTTGCGGTCGCTGGAATTGTGTTTTGGTGTTGACTTAATTATGGCGAAGGGAGGTCAATGCATTGAGAAGGTTCGGAGGGGCATTTGGATGGTGTTCTTCATGGTGGCAATGCTGGCGTCTTTGCTGGTTACATCGTTGCCGGTGCTCGTGGCGCTTGTTGATGTGTTGGTACCTTGTGTTTTGATCTCCAGCTTTACGTGCGTGAGGTGTTACGATTTTAAAGAACATTTGCGTCGATACACATTCAAGAGTTCCTTGACAGACATTCCCCTCGTTTCTATCATAAGATCTCTCATCATTATATGTATGATTGTTTTCTGTATTTTTTTCCCCTTCCTTTTTATGGTGCTTTGTTTACCTTTTTCGGGCATTATGATCGCTCTGGAGCTGGTATTTGCAGGGATGTTAAAGTAATGCTATACTTCTAAATTAGAAGAACTGATTTCCCTTTTATTTTGTCGTGGGGAATACATTGCTTAATTTCTTTTCCAAAGCATTCACCAGTTTGATGATTAAGTTGTCGAAACGAGGAGACAAGTTTCGAAAATCATTTCTCATATGCTGTTAACGTGTCGAAAGAAACTTCAACTATTTTTATATTTCTTTTCCAGATAAGCATCTACAAGTTAATCACAAATCTCAAGCTCACTTGTTTTTTCTTCTTCCATTTCTTACCTTTTGGAATAACTATGTGATGGAATACGGGGCTAAGCTCACTGTGTATCGATGGAAGCGACGGTATTTCATCAGTTTTATGCTCTCTGACTAAAATTTTGTTAGCGTATACACATTGCATAATGAATTTTGTATCTCTCACTTTGTATTCTGTGTGTTGGGGATTAGATGTGCAGAATATGTCGAAGAAAATCAGTGGTTCCTTTCCATAATTTAATTCCTGTTCTTTCCAGCCTAACGTTATCATTCTTGCACATTTGCAGGCGTGTATAGCATTTGCGATGGCCCTGCTTTATCACATGGTCCTTACCTTGGAGCCGTCTCTCTGTGTTCCTTTCTCTCAGTTGTTCTTCTTTCAGTAAAAGCTTGTGTTTTCACCGTAAATTCTCACATTGAAGCTGAAGCTGCAGCTTCTCTCTCAAAGCAGAGACTCCATTTGAAGAAGTCATGGGGAATGCCTGTACTTTTCCTCTCATCAGTTGTTTTTGCCCTTGGCCACATTGTGGTAGCTTATAGAACCAGCTGCAGGGCACGGAGAAAGCTATTGTTTCACCGGGTTGATCCAGAAGCTGTAAGTTTGTGATGGCTATCTTTCTACCCTTTAACTTGAGGTTTACGCTTGGTAAATTGTTTCTGTAGTTTTGATTTTCTGGAGGTAAGAGGTTCTGATAATTTGCTTGGTACACAACCTATATGCCATTTTAAGCAGGTACTTTCATGCAAAGTTTTCTCTTGCTATCAGAAGGTCCCACGATCTCCTACTCCTTCTGTAGTGAGAACCCCAAAAAGTGACAGTGAAATGAGACGGAGACCTTTTGGGACAGCTTGTGATGAAGAAATGCCACTCAAATTACTTGGAGACTCTGACGGCTTATTCATTACATGTCAAGGACTTACAGTCCATTACAAAGTCAGCTTGCCTGGTTCGCCACCACATACCCTGTCCTCTGCATCCATCGTTGAACCAAATTTTAGCAATGTCACTTCATCGGCTGGGGGACTTACTAAATTCAATGGGCATTTGGCAAGTATGTCTCCAAAGATCCAGAGGCAACTCCACAGGAGCTATAGCAATCAATTCCATGGCTCATCACTCTATACTCCACTTCTGGATGGTCCTGTGACTTCTCCAGCTGTTTCTGAAGATATACCTGCTTTGTGCTTGGAAAACATTCATGAAGAAACTAATAAATTAGATTCTATGAATTTGGAGAAAAATATGGATGGTAGCACTAATGGTGAATTAGGGGTTGTTCTTGTACACGGATTTGGTGGTGGAGTCTTCTCTTGGAGGCATGTTATGGGATCTATTTCTCGACAAAGTAATTGCACTGTTGCTGCATTTGACAGGCCTGGCTGGGGACTAACATCAAGGCCTCGTCGAAGGGATTGGGAGGAAAAAGATTTACCTAATCCATATAAGCTTGATAGTCAGGTGATTAATCCTTATGATTATTAGTGTGAGAAATGCATTCTTTTCTTCCTCATGGTATTGAACAAATAACTAAGGTATTGGCCAAGCTCATGATTCATGATATGATCTGAATACTTCCCTTTTGGAACGGAGAGTCAACTTTTGGCTTCCTAGGCTAATGACATAGCATATGTTGCTATTATTTTTTCTTGTTCAACAGTGCATTAGTGGTTTTTTATGCAAAAAAGGTATAAGGATGGTGTTTTGGAGTGTTGAATGCTGAAACTGGTGACGGAGTAAGGTGTTGAATGAGACAGGGTGCCAGCAGTAGATATATAGTAGCGAGTCTGTTTGTCTTTTGTTCGTGCTATATTGACTAGTAGATGTTGTGTCATGATTGTCATTTTCATTTGTTACTTTTGAGTGTGTGCTAGATTTCATCTTATAACGTTTTAGCTGATTTGGCCTTTTCAGGTTGACCTACTTTTATCATTTTGTTCTGAGATTGGTTTCTCTTCTGTGGTACTTATCGGTCATGATGATGGAGGGTTGCTTGCTTTGAAGGCTGCACAAAGAGTTCAATCATCAATGAATTCTTCTAATGTGAGATTACTTATTGCTGTTCTGTGCTAGGTAGATAACATAATTAATTTGGTTGGCCACATTATACGGCCTAGTGTTAATTATTATTATTATTGGATGAAATGCAGCTTAGATTTTAGTTGCTTAAGTTGCCTGTACTGTTTGGATTGGCATGCATGTATACAGGCTAAAATAGATTCACAACAGAGACATATCAATCATTAGTTGCATTTATGGTACAAAACGAGACATAAAAAACTGGATCATGTGGATGAAGAATTACTTAACCTTGATAACTTGGGTGCCTTATTCTTTATGTATTTATGAATATTAGTTGCTATTGGTTATGTTGTTCTTGTCCATATATGATGCCCAGTGAAGTTGCCCTGTGTAAGCTAACTATTAATTGCATGTGTCTTACAGTTTGCAGTTAATGCATATTCTGCATTCGATGAAGTCTAAAGCTCATGTCTGTGTAACATTCAGGTTATCATCAAAGGGGTTGTATTGCTAAATGTTAACTTGTCGAGAGAAGTGGTTCCTTCCTTTGCAAGGATCCTTCTGCATACATCACTTGGAAAGAAGCACTTGGTTCGCCCTTTATTAAGAACTGAAATCACTCAAGTAGTGAACCGACATGCTTGGTATGATGCTACCAAGCTGACGACAGAAGTTTTGAGTCTCTACAAGGTACTTAATTCCTTCAGCTCATATAGATTATAGACTGGAATTTATCAGGCTTGTAAGTTTCAAGCAATAAAGATGACTATTACATAGAATGATAAAAACTTCTTGTTGATCTTATCTTTCGGTCTATAGATAAATGCTATATTATGATCTCAGAGACGTATCGTGTCTTGGATCAAGCCATTTGCTTCCATCCATTTGTTTTCTGCTTTCTTGTATGCAGTTTGTCATGGTAAATGTATAATTTTGTTGGCAGCGGTCTTTTTCTCCTGAGGGAGTGTAATGGAGCGTTTCGAAATCTTTTTGCTTTTCTTATTTACTTAGTCCTTGAATTTCCCTTTGCAACTGTTTTGTGTGATGTATCTATCTTCCTTCTGATCGTTTGGTTATTCATGTTTTTGTTATGTATCTCTTCCAGGGCATTTTGATGCTACTTTGCTGTATATAACTGTTCGTTCAATATTTTAGGCTCCACTATACGTAGAAGGATGGGATGAAGCTCTTCATGAGATTGGGAAATTGTCATCTGAAACCATACATACCGCCAAAAATGCAGAAGTATTGCTGCAGGCTGTGGGAGATGTGCCAGTGTTGGTCATTGCCGGTGCTGAAGATTCCCTTGTCTCTCTCAGCTCTTGCCAAACCATGGCTTCAAAACTTGTAAATTCTGTGAGTATATTTTCATATATTCTGAACAATTTCAGTGTGGCTACCGAGGGTGTGCTTGATAAATAGAATTAGTTGGGAGATGATTAGAGGAAGAATGTATATCAATCGTGCCCAAATACTTTTTTTTTGCCATCCGTGACCGAATACTTTTGCTATTGGTTCTCTCCGTTTTTCATCATCCCAATATTATTCCTGGCAATTACACCCTTGGTATTACCCCATTAATGACTCTGGAAACAGAATGCTAGTAGCTGCATCAGATATCAATTTCTCTTTGCATTTATCTGTTCTAAATCCTAATGCTTCTTTTACTAATTAACTTGCAGAGACTCGTTGCAATATCTGGATGTGGCCATCTACCCCATGAAGAATGTCCAAAGGCGTTGCTTGCTGCTATATTACCCTTCATCAGTAGATTGTCTGTACCAGACCCGCAAAACTAAGACGCATAGGGTTATCTATAATAGGGACTAGGGTATCGATCTACTTTTCATTTTCTTTTTACCTTGACCTTTTTGTTTCTTTTCTTCTTCCCTTCTCTCGTTAGCCATATTACCTCAGGAGAAAGAGAGCAAAGGCATCTCTTTTTTATCTCCCGAGTTTTTATTTTTGTCGTGGTAGCTTTTGGGGTTTTGACCTATATTGGGACCACCCCCCCCACCCAAAAAAAGAATTAATTTTTTTCTCTCTTGTTTAATTGTAAATGCTTATGTTTGTCTGAATTATTCCCTTCTGAAAAGAAAGTGGGAATGAACACATTTGTAAATTGCTAGATGAGAAATGTATGAGTTTCCTCTGGCCTCTGAAAGCTGTGTGCTTTCCGTTTATATGAATCTCTTTTTGAATTTGTTCATATACTAAGGGGCGCTTGTTCAATAGGTTTTAGATTGCTGTGCTTTCATTGATACTTATTCTAAAGGACTTTGGTAAAACAAAATAGGATCGAGGCTGAGTCAGATTGACACTTGCCAGTAGCACCAACATATTTGAAAGTATGTGGTTTTTGTTTGAGAATTTGAAGGCCAGTATTAAATAAGCATGGCAAGACCAAGTGCTAGGATCTCTGATGGAGGTTCATAGCGTGATCAAGCTTTAAAGAGAGTAAAAAGGAGGGGCCCAAGCTCAAGGTTGAAAGTTCAACATTCCAAATTATCATTACAAGGCATTAGAGGTCTTTTCGCTTCCTAGTACAAGACATTAGAGGTTAATAATAAGAATGAGAACTAAAACTGCTAAGGAAGCCTATTGATAAGAGGGTTTCAAGAGTTGAAGCCCATTTATTTGGGCAAACATCCAACAAAAGTTTAAGAATAGTGATCACATTGGTAAAAATCCAACAAAGTGAGGTGCAAGGCCCACATTGGTAAAAATTCATGTGATAACCGTGTTCTAGAGCAAGAATACAAGTGACGGTTACGAACCCTCAATAAATATCAAGAAGGTGTCCTGTATGATTTAACTAAGATTGGATTTTATTTTCAATAAAAGTCTTTTTCTTTGTTAAAAAAAATAATGTATAATTTTTCTATTTAGTTGCTTTGAATAAGGCTTCTTTTGGTTAACTTTTTTTTAGAAGATCATGTTTTCATTTAGTTTTCTATTTTATTCTAATTTAAATAACTTCCGATTCTTTTATATAATAAGTGACACTTTCCATTGTTAATTTAATCATGAATGAAATGTTATCCCTAACATTTATGATCTTTAACTAAAGTTGATATTAAATCTTAAAAATTCTGGTAACATTGAGAATATTAGAATAGCTTTAAGAAATATCAATACCAATTGTTATAATTACTCTTAATATAATATTAAATTCTAAAATTTTCACCTATTAATTTTATTTCCAGGTTAATATATCATCTATAAAGTATTTCTCCATGTGTATTTGATATCATAAAATTTACTTATATGTAAAAAGTACAAGTGAATCATGCTAAACAGAGTAAAACTCTCATTTCCGTCAACTGCAAATATATTATTAATCTTTTGTGGAGAAAATATGTTGACCATTAATAGGATGTGAGTTTTGCTTTGTCTTAGAAGATTTATGTGTACTTTTGCCTTTAAACAAATTTTATGATATCAAATACACATGGAAGAAGATACTTCGTGGGTACTTTTCTATTTTAACCTTTTATTTTATCAATTTTCCGTTTGACCGTCATCGCCTTTTTTTTTAATTGAGAAAATGACATAAAAATGATGCTTAAAAATTTTAAAATGGTCACTTGAATAAGCAAAATCCTAATTTAAGCATAAGTGGCTAATTTAGGATTTGCAAATTTGCTGAAATGATCATATTGCCTTTTATTTGTTTTTTTATTGTTTTTAAAAAACCAAATACTGTTATTAGCTAGCTGTTCGCCAGAGCTTCGGTGCCGTTGACAGTTGCTGGAGCTTCGACGGCCTTTATGAAAGTTGTCAATATTATTACATGACTTATTAACTGCGTTATTGAAGTTGTAAAAATGTCACTTCTTAAACTTTTTAGAAAACCTGTTGTTAAATGCTATATCAAAATTGTTAATAGAGTTATGAAACTTGTTAACGGTATGGGAAAATCATATTGAAGGTACCTATACTTTCTCTCAATTTTTAATTTGGTATCTATGTGTTTTTTTCCCTTTAATTAAACATTTAATTTTATCTTTTAGCAACATTAGCTCTTATAATTTTGTTCTATTGATATTTTTAGTCTCTACATAAGGATTAATTGTTAATGAGGAAAAATAAAATTTAGTTAAGAACAAAAAACACATAGGTACCAAATTGAAAATTGAAAAAAGTATAGGTACCTCCAATATGATTTTCCCTTAACGGTATTACTAAAGTTGTAAAAGTGCTTCTTTTTGAATTTTCTAGAAAACCTATTATTAACTATTATACTGAACTTATTGATAGCGTTACAAAACTTGTTAACTATGTTATTGAAATTGTACAAATTTTCAAAAAAAAGTTGCCGGCCGCCGGAACTCCGGTGATGGTAGCCATCAGAGCTCTGGTGGCTGGTCGACCAATGAGGGTATTTGATTTTTTTAAAAACAATAAAAAATAAAGGGCAATATGATCATTTCAGTAAATTTGTAACTTTCAAATTAGTCACTTATGTCTAACTTGAGATTTAGCTTATTTTTGATGAAACATCAGGGATCTAGGCAGACCCGGTGACTAATCCCTTCGCTGGCTTGTAGGCACCTCGATGGGTGAGATAGCTGGCCCGGGATTTAAGCTTTTCCATGCTCAAGGTAAAGATCGAATCCTGACACTTGTTAAGGGAGGATGAGCCCCCACCGCTCATTTAACTGAATTTTGCTTATTCAAGTGACTATTTGGGATTTCCAAATTTAAGTGTCATTTTGTGTCTTTTTTTTTTAATTTTTTAAAAATATATCTGTATTCGTTGTTTCCCGCCAGCATATAACAGCTTCAAATCTCATCCACAAAACAATTTCTTTTTCCGACATTCGATATACACTACGTGGTAGCTCGGACACGCCATTACATCGCTACCGTGCGCACAAGTTTCTATCCTACACCATCAGCGCAAAGCACATCGGTGGTTCGAGATTCATAACTCCTTCCCCATTCATTCAAACCTGGTTCAACTCCCTGCGCACGTTAGAACCGACCCTCCCCATTTATTTCTTTCTTTCCGAGAACATTTCCTTCCAAAGGCGCGAAACAAACTAAACTACCTTATGTGTTTGTCTCTTCCTGTTTCTGTCTGCTTCGCTCCTCAGCTTACCAACACTTTTATGGCGTCCGGGTCGGCTTCTCTAATGTGGTTCCGAAAGGGTCTTAGGATCCATGACAACCCGGCCCTGGATTTCGCCCGCCAAGGTTCGGATCGTCTTTACCCTGTCTTCGTTATCGACCCGCATTACATGGAACCCGACTCCAATGCATTTTCCCCCGGTTCTACTCGTGCCGGTCTCAACCGGATTAAGTTCCTGCTTGAAAGCCTTGTGGACCTTGATTTGAACCTTAAGAAGCTGGGATCGCGACTGCTGATTCTTAAGGGTGAACCAGGAAAAGTTTTGATTCATTGCTTGAAGAAGGTATAATCGTTGATTCCTCTCTCACTATGAATTCTAATTTCTCTGTTCATTATACGACTTAGTTATTCGACGATTCTTTTTATCATATACGGCTCGGTTATTTTAACTGGTTATTTCTGTTTCTTCTTTCCAATGATGCAGTGGAACATCAGAAAACTTTGCTTTGAGTATGACACTGATCCATATTATCAGGCTTTAGATACTAAAGTTAAGGTAACTCTGCTGGAGGCCTTTAAATATTTTCAAATGAGCAAGGTTTGTTTGCCAATAGTAGTCGGAGAATGCTGGTGAATCGCAGTAGTTAGTTTTAAGGATTAGAGTTAGATATAGTTTTTACTTATTAGACGTTTATTGTTGGCTTTGACAGAATTATGCAGTGGCGTCTGGGATTGAGGTTTTCTCTCCTGTGAGTCACACGCTCTTCAATCCAGCGGATATTATACAGAAGGTCAGACAGAAGTTTAAAGTGAACAATTTATCTGCAATTGGATGTTGTTCTCTTTCTGTCGTTCTATTTTTTTTCAAAAATTCATATGGATAGTTGTTGTTCTCGTCCTAACAATCGATAGAATTCCTAGTCCTAGGTGATCCTTTACTAAAATAATGTAATGATACTATTTGTGATTAATTCTGTCCATTTGGTTTTGCCAATGCCACAAAAGAATGGAGGGAAGCCACCCCTTAGTTATCAATCGTTTGTGAAGATTGCCGGACAACCATCATGCCCCCTCTCAACTACGGTTTCCTCACTTCCTCCTGTTGGAGATCTTGGAAGTTGTGAGATTTCTGAAGTTCCAACAATCGGAGAACTCGGATACAGAAATGTTAAGCAGGTGAGCAGATATAATGTTTTGATATTAAATTATTTATGAGTTCTTACGAAGAGAAGTTGCGTGCAGGAAGAATCCTCTCCTTTCAAGGGCGGTGAATCAGAAGCATTGAAGAGGCTGACAGAATGCATGAGAAGAAAGGTAGTTCTTATCATTCAATCAAATATTCTCATCCTAAGACTAAGTGCATGTAACTAGTGATGAAAGATCCTGTCATTGCAGATTTTTCAATGGATAGCATGTGATAGTTTCAAATATTCTTTTTTCTTCCTGCAGGAGTTCGTGGCCAACTTTGAGAAACCCAAGGGTAATCCATCTGCTTTTCTTAGACCAGAAACAACTGTTCTATCACCTTATTTGAAAGTGAGTCAGGCTCAGTAGCAATTTAATTGTGTAACATGTCCCTTTTGCATGTATGAATTATAAATCAAAACGGAACCTTATGCTCTTTCCCATATTTTTTTTCCCTTTTCTGTTTTTCTCATTGTTCACTCTTTGGCAGTTTGGTTGTTTATCCTCCAGATATTTCTACCAGCAGATTCAAGATGTATATAAAACTATGCCAAAGCATACGTCACCACCTGTTTCTCTTCTAGGACAGGTCAGTCCATCTCATATGTGAATATTTTTCAGTTCTACTGTCGGGAAGCTCAAGCTACTGCAAATTTTTTCTCATATGTAGTTGTTATGGCGAGACTTTTTCTACACTGTGGCATTTGGGACTCCAAATTTTGATAAGATGAAAGGCAATAGAATATGCAAGCAGGTAAGAACAATTGATCACTATTGTCTACTGTTTTATCGGCGTTTGGCCAATACTTGACTTTGATTTATGAGGAAAATACAACAACAAAAAGGGAGACAAATACTTTGGAATACATTGTCAAATGTCAGATACCTTGGAAGGATGATGACAAACTTCTGGAAGCTTGGAGGGAGGCTAGGACAGGATTTCCTTGGATTGATGCCATCATGGTTCAGGTGAGAGTTTTGACATCCTTCTTCAAGTGGGCAATGACTTGATACTTTGAAGCTGTATTACTCAGCCTGTGAATATAAATCTGTTGTTTGCTGTTGTAGCTACGTCAATGGGGTTGGATGCACCATCTGGCACGACATTCTGTTGCATGTTTTCTTACTCGTGGTGACCTGGTATACGATGTTACTCTAAACTTGCCACATTTTCTTTATTCTAATGTCTTAAACAATTTTGTTTGTTTTATTCTGACAGTTTGTTCACTGGCAAAAAGGGCGTGATGTCTTTGAGAGGCTTCTTATTGATTCAGATTGGGCAATTAATAATGGAAACTGGCTTTGGCTCTCATGTTCATCCTTCTTTTATCAGGTACCAGATGTTACGCATCACTAGTTCAAAATTCAGTGACAGCCTACTCCACAAACATACAAATATGATCCTTTTGGAATGTGTAACTTAAGGTCTACATGGATCCTGATGCTTGACATCTTAGTTGTGTGATAACCTAAACTGTAACCCTAAGCTTCTTAATTTTTAATGTACGTAACACACAAATGTGTTTTTTTTTTTTTTTCCCAAACCGTTTAATCACGTTGTGAATCATTTTAATACTGTTTTCATTTCGGTTTGGTTTGGATTTTCCTCTGACACTTTTCACACATATTATGTGTAATCATGGTCAGTATAATCGTATTTACTCCCCAATCTCATTTGGTAAGAACTACGACCCTAAAGGAGACTACATCAGGCATTTTCTCCCTGTCTTAAAAGGTACGTTAGGGTTCCTTCAACTCCATGTTCTATCATCCAGTCAATTTCCTCTTGGTAAGTCCTAAAAATGAATATTTATGACCACTGACCAGATATGCCCAAGGAATACATCTATGAACCATGGACTGCTCCTCTAAGCGTTCAGAAGAAAGCAAATTGCGTTTTAGGCAAAGACTATCCAATGCCCGGTCCGTTCTGTCGCTAATATGTTTCTATCTTCCCCATATGGTTTTTCGTACAAAAAATTCATCTAGATTCTGTCGTGTTGTGATAATCTGCTAGAGGAATATTCAATTCCTTTTATAAGAACTTTGTCTTTTTGAGTCTTATGAACTTGCTTTTTATTCATGAGTAGATTCTATGGATGTCCATATTATTATCCTATTCCTGGCTTAGGCTCTGTTTGTTCTGTTTCAGTTGTATCTCATGATTCTGCTAGCAAAGAGTGCCGAAGAAGAATGGCTGAGGCATATGCGTTGAACAAGGAATTGAATGATTCGATGAGCGAAGAAGATCTGAAAAACTTGAGGAGGAAACTAGATGAAGGAACACAAGAGCAAGAGACTAAACATAAAAGATATAGACAGAAGCTGATTGGGTGAGTAAAAAAAAACTTGCTGGGTTTTTGGTTAAAAACTTGTGATGTAATTTCACCTGTAACTTTAACAGTTTAACTAGTATACCTCGCTTTTCTAATATATATGAGTTAGCTGGGAATTGAACTTTGTATTATATATAATATTTTAATTTATTTTGTTTCTTATATTTATCAGTTTTCTGAAACTAATTCATTTAACTTATAATTGATATACTCCTCCGATCCTAAATATAAGACCCTTATATTAGTGTGTATAAGGGTCTTATATTTAGAACTGGAGGAGTATACTATAATGCTATATGGGGTATTTGAAAGGAATCACGCCAGGTTTGTCATAATCAACTAATTTATTTGATTTTTTTTAGTCTATTTAAATTAATTAAATAGCTCTTGTATAATTTTTTTTGACGAAATAAATACCAAACAGGAATTTAAATTTAGGGAGAATCTCCTTTAAATCCAATTGAAATACTAAAATTTAAAATTAGGCCTACACTTTGAAGAAATTCTTAATAGGCCAAAAGGCCTGATTGAGATTTATAACTATTGTTAAAAGTCTAAATTTCCCCTTTGTAATTATAATATGAGTTGTTATCTTTATATTTTTCTTCCTCACAAATTCTTTTATTAAAATATTTTTTCCAGATTTTTCAAAATTTGAAAATAGTAAATTTTTAGTAAATGATAATGAATTACAACATAGTCCTTGATTGATATTAATAATTAATTAATTCAGCACCATTATCAATATAACAGCATAGTCATTGATATACTTTAATTTTGGATGGTTTTAATTTCTGTTTAGTTTTAGTATTGATTCTCTGTCTACTTCATAAATCATAATCCACACATATATAATTTTTTTTAATTAAACTTGTACATTTTTTTAAATAGAACACGCGTATATTTTAAGAGTGGAAAACTTGTTCAGACAGTAAGTATTTTTACAAATTTTAGATTGAGGACAATATTATAATTTATTATTTTCATATTTTACGAAAAAAATTTGTAAGGGAGAAAAATATATAAGTATCAGCTCATATTTTAATTATAGAGGGGTATTTTGGTCTTTTAACAATAGTAATAAGTATTTAATTAGGCCTCTTAGTCTAATTAGAAATTTATTCAAAGGGAAGCTGTGATTTTGAATTTCAATATTTCAAGTGGATTTAAACATGATTCTCCCTAAAATTTAAGAGAAACATGATTGATTATGATAATCAAATATATTTTAGTTTTTTTTTTGTACAGTAAAGTTTAGGTTAGTTGGGTTTTAGGGGCTTTTCAAAACCAGGACATATTTTCAGGTTCAAAAAACACTTACAGAAATATTTATAGATTTTTTTTTGGTCCAACAGAAATATTTATAGATTACCCACTAACAAAATTCTTATATTGATAACGGGATTCGAACTCACGATTTTGTAGCTGATTTTTACTTAATTACTAGCTAAAGTAACTCTTATTGAAAATTTTTACGTATTTGACGGAAGAGTGAAAAAGAAGCAGCAACAAAATATCATCCCGAAAAGATTTCTTCACCGTTTCACATCTACCAAGCGGGTCACCGAAATTTCCGTATTTGTCAACATCCTTAGAAAAGTGCACATAAAGATCCCAAAAAGCGCAACCCAAACACGCTCCAGCAGCCTACCCGTCCACGTTCTCGCCCAGTCAGCCTTATCCACTTTGCAGTTCACGTGCTCCACCACCCACAATACCCTTTCTTCATCACATTGCCATTTGTACTTTTTATTCCTAAATTACCCTTCATTTCCCATCAAATACCATCACAGCCCTCACTCCAACCCATTTGAGACATTAAGTGCATTGTCGTTCAATAACCCCGCCACACCTGATCCCTCCTCCTCCCCACCCACTCCCTACGCTTTATTTCCTTTCTCGCAACGTTCGGTCCCCTGTCTGAAACAACCCTCAGGCTTCATCTCTCTTCAATGGCGACTGCTTCTCTCACCGTTTTCCGACCCTCGATCGTCCGATCCTCGATCAAACCCGAGCCGAACAACCGGAAACAGGTTTCTTTGAACTGGTGGGCTCCGTTGTTCGGAATGTCGACGGAACCAGACTACATCGATCGTACCGCCATTTCTTCTTCTTCATCGAAGGCCGTTGAAGCTCCGGAGGCTGATAACGAACCCGTCCGACCCAGATCCAAGTTCACTCCTGGATGCTTTACCGAGGAGAAGGCCAAACAACTCCGGATGAAGACTCTGGAAACGACGACGTTCCACGATATTATGTACCACTCATCGATTGCATCCAGGCTCGCCTCCGACGTTTCAAAACGGTTCGAGAAATAAGGCCCGCCGTCGCTGGTGGTCCGTTATGTAAGTCCGATGCCGCTAGTATGTAGATCGGACTTGGCTCCGATTCCATTTCCCATCTGTCGATATGAAATATGGTAAAATTAAAAAAAAAGAAAAGGAACAAATTGATTTGTGTTATGTGAAGACAATGGGATCTTGTGTGTTTGATTTGGGACACTGGTGCTACTGTTGTATGGATCATATTATGCCTATGAATATGAATCTTTGTGTTGCTGTTAATTATCAATTTTTTTCAATTCTCGGTAATTTCTGGTGGTCTAAGGTTTAGTAAAGATGATGGAGGATGTTTAAATGAACGTAACTGGTTGGATTTTCTGTTTCAGGTGGGATGAAAGTATGAAACTAGATGCAAATTTGGTGGTGTGGAGGGATACTGTGATATTCATTTTATAATTAATTTTATTTTACATAGATATAAGTTTTAAACTTGCTGGTAAAACAAAAAGTTTTAAACTTTATTAATTTTAATTTTACTGCAACAATAATAACAAGTAGCCAATAGGTACAGATTTAATACTTAGTGGTTATTGTCAATAATTTTTGTACAAAAACTATACCACCTCTCATTCTTAATATATAAAAACTGGAAAGTGGTTTTGGTCTCACGTAGTTTTAATTCATTTTGTCTCATATTTTTATTATTATTTTTTCCTAAAATACTCCTGTAATTGTAGTATGAATGATTTAAGAAGATTTTTTTTAAAAAAATTGATATATGTTTTTAATAAATAATTAATTTATTTAATCTGTCTGAAATAATCTTCAGCATGAATCAAACTAATAAAAAAACTTACCAAATTGCTTGTTAACCCAAATCAAAATAGAGCCGCAGTTTTTTTCCCCCTCAATTGTGAATTGTAATGCACAATTTCACAAATCAAGTGGTTTGCTTCAATTTGAATCAAAACCAAGCCAAAACGTTAAATACTCCTATAATATACTCACCTGCTCCCTGTCCTAACTTTTAACCTTCCATAAAACTTTTTAAAAACCAGTTTGTTGAAGTAGATGAGATCTCTCTTTTCGGGTAAGCTTCATTTGTTGAACATCACCTCATTCCTCTCCTCATTAACACAACCACATCAAACATATATGCCTAGCAAAACCAGCGAATCGGTCAAATTTTTTTTTATTTTTTTTTAACCTTTTTGGGAAAAAAATTTAATCATGTTTTAAAACTATATTTTGTGCATATCTATTTCAAATCTCTCTTCTCTTTCTACAAAGCTATACAATCACTTGTGGAGGTGTTGTTAAAGATGAACATGAGAATTGGCCAAGCGGATAAGTTGGGCAGCTATGCTTCTTTAACGGGTTGAAAAATGTGGGGGGTCTTCAATTATTGCTTAGAAGCAATTAATCTTCTCACCACAAGAGGTCTTAATAACTTGGAATGTCTCAATAAATTCTATGTATAGACAAATTAATTGTAAGTGATAAAAGATAATTCCACTTTCTTTGCTTTTCTGTAATACGTTTCTTAATATTATTAGTATTCAGTTTTCACTTAAAAAAATTCATTTTTGTTTTTTGTTTTGGTATAGGGTCAATTGAATGTTAAAACAGGAAAAAAAAAAGATATAGGGTCAATTTTTCATTTTTCATACGCACCCAAAGTAAAAGGGGTGTTTGGATGAAACTAAACTATGGTTTGAAGAATAGTTCTTAGAAAGAATAGATTTTGTGAAAAAGTGATTTTGAGAAGTGAGAGTGTTTGGATAGTTGTTATCAGAAACACTTTTTATATATACAAATTACTAAAAAAGACATAAATTAATATGATAATTACATAAAAAATAGATTTTATGATATATTTTAATTTGAAGGAATAAAATTATTAATAATATATTTTTTACCAATATAATTAATAATCCATAAGATAATATAATTAATAAATAATTAATGTTTGTATATATATTTATACGATATAAGATTAAATATGTTTATAAAAAATAATTGAGAGATGTTAAAATCATATTATTGTTGAGATTTACTCTGACAGGCACAATTATACTCTTCACTTTGAGACAGAAGCATAATAGATTCACTGTTCTTGTAACCATGGTTTTTGCTTAAATCATGGTTTTGACCCAAACCATAGTTTTGGATTATTTTTTCAAAATTGATGTTGTTTGGGTGACATCTTATCCAAATCATGGTTTTGCCTCCCAAATCATGGTTTTGGGAGCACCCAAACAAGCCCAACCATAATAGATCCTCGAGTCTTGATGGATCAACGGAGCAAATTGGTCGTCATCAACTCAAGGAATTGGAGGGGCCCATGTTGTAATCCAGCCCATTTGACAACTAGTTAACCCTTGCAAGTTGCAATATCAGTTTTGGTCAACCAATAAGTGTTGGTCCAAATAGAAAGGATTTGGACACCTTAAATATTATGTCCTAAGTTTGATTTTTGAAACGGTGTGTATGAAAAAATACTGTTGGGAGGGATCCCTGTTGCAGCGTCTGACAGTACCCCGAGAGATTAGTTTCTTATCGTTCGGGTAGAAGGATACTTTGGATAATTAAAAAAAAAAAATCAATTTTGGTCACATTTAGTGTCTAATAATTTCTCGAACAAAATTGTTTCTAATAAGAAGATATTGATGCGAAACCCAAAAAAATTAGGTTCAGCTAAAAAAAAATGAATTCAGTTATATTAGCAGTTTCATTAACCTCTTGCTGAAACACTTGTTCCCACATACTAACTTCTTAATGCATAGCAATAATGGAGGTAAGAAACACATTGAATTGGACCGCTTTGCCCCTTAGCTTGACTGATCTTCTTTGCCCATTTCTATTCCGAAATCTAGATAGATCACTCGGAGGAGCGGGATCTCCATCTCTAGAACAGAAAGAAGGGAAAGCGATCCAATGCCAAAGCAATCTCATATCAAATAGAGTAGTACTTAATAGCAAGTATAAAGATAAAATGATGCATGAAATCATAGCCTCAAAATTTTGGGGAGTAAATAACCCATAATTTGGTGTGCTTGCCCTCAACCGATCATATTTAAACTCGCCGTTTAAAAATATGAATAAACAGATTGATTTGACATTTATACAGGATGTGTCATGAGCATACCCTTGAGCTACCCGTTCCCATTTCTTTGCATACGCATACGTGCTTAAACCTCATTAGACTTCAGAACTTAAGTTTCCAATCCAACCTCAAGAGATGAAAAACTTCATCGGCTTTTCCATCTATCTCTATCTCTTGCTTCTTTCTTTTAAATTTGATTTGGTTAAACAGGCTACCTAAAATTCATTTAAACCCACATGAATTAGTCTAACCGGTTTAGTACGGGTTCTAAACGTGTATGAACTAGCTCATGCCCATTTACAAATAAACGGGTAGGTTATAGGTTGACCCTTGACTCAACTTGTCCTGTTGGTTGCATACCTTTCATATTTGCCTTACTTGTATCTATGGTATCTTATCTAGCTCTTTATATGCTTAAATTCTTCCCTCCCCTTCCCTCGTACTAATTAAATACAATTTTTTATTTATTCATTAAAAAGCGTTCATGAAAACCAACAAACGTATGGCAATTCCCGAGAAGATAAGACCTTTCAGGCTAACTCTAACTTGGTCCACGTATGGACAAATCCTTAAATAATTAAATATAAAAAGAAAATAATAAATGTATGATAAATGAGTAAATGACCATTCATTCAGACTCATTTGCTTGAATCTAAAGTCACATGCTCAATCACCAAAGCAGCACATGTAATTGTGTGTTCGTGATTGCTTCCAAATAATCTCGTAAAAATGAAATTATATGGGTCATATTGTGGCTCATTCAATGTTACGTTCTTCATACTTGTGAAATTACATATTTACATCCATCAAAATTAGTAAATTACACCTATACTTCACTGGTCCATAACATCCATACCGTTTACTTACATAGGTACGGATTACAGAAGATAGTTAAATACAATTTTGCTCATTAAATATGTAAGAAAATTTTAATATTTTTTGAAACTATCCTTATTAAAAGATAAATACCACTCCCTCTCACTCCGCAATACAAGTTACTCATAAAAACTTTAGTAAAAAATACAAGTTACTTGGAGAATAATTAATATTTATTTGTCAATTTTATTTCTATAATTAATATTTAAATGTAACTCATTGTATTTTTTTTTAATTTCCTTCAGAACCTCGTTTAATATGGGTAAAGTTGAAAAAAAAATTTCAATTTAGAACAAATTTAATGAATTAACCACCATTTTTTTAATATTGATGAATTAGTTAAAGTAATTATACAGTGTACATGAAGATATAATGCACTCTTTTCAAATAATTTTGGAATAAGTGAGTCTCACTAAATGATTTTGTCACAAATGTGTTTTTTCATGCAAGACAGAACGTAAATTTATAGTTCATAATTATTAGCAAAGATATCAGTAGCACAAAAAAATAGATATAAAATTATAAATTCGCCGCTATACAGCAGACAGAAGGAAGACACACACTATCGAGACCCCGTTACATCTGGGTTATTTGAGAAAGAATTTTATGGACACATTTTTTAATGTCCCAATTATGAGGTTTGGTTTCTTATCATCCCACATACTTCATTAAACTATTCGGATTTGGGTTCATTAACTTATTACTCTTTCGATATTTAATATAGGACCTAATTATTGAGTTATTCAGTATTTAATATAGGACCTAATTATTGAGTTAATTTTATTCTTCAATATAAGATCTATTTCTCATATTTATTAATTTTTTCTAAATTACCTTTATATATACTCTCTTAACTATAATTAAGTAGAAGAGGGAGAGGGGATATTGAGGAAGATGATTACAATGTTTTAAGAAAAACATGTCATATTTCTTATAATTAACTAATTTACCTAACTTCTTTAATCTAATCAAATTAGTTAAATATGTCTTATATTAAGAACCGGAAGAATATTATACTATAAGTTAGTTGGGAAATTAATTTTAGTTCTAAATATAATATTTTAATCTATTTTATTTTTTATATTTATTACTCCTCCTTATTTAAAATATAAGTTAAACTTTATCAATTTATATGTAAGGTATGCATTTTTTTTTCAAATATGCTCTTACTGATTAAGAGAATAAATAAAAGATGCAATAAATAAATAAAAAAGAAAAGAGAATATATAAGGTAACATTAGGAAAAATTCATTAAATACTTAGACGAAAATAAATGTTATCTCATAAAAAAAACTAAACCCTTCCAATAAAGGTTAGCTTTTATTTTGAATCATAGGCAGTCTTTTTTTAAAACCTCCGATCTTTTCTATAAGTTGTACTTTGAAAATGGCTAAATATTTAATACATTTTTTTTAATTTTTATCCTCAATTAATTATATGTCTTTTATTATTTATTTTCTCACTCATCCCCTCTATAAGTAAGAGTGCTTTATAAAAGCAGGCTGCATTTTTTTTCACCAATTTATTGTCTTTAACGTATTTTAATCAACTTCCATCGGTTACTTGTATATGATGAAAATGACCAAAGAAAGTACTCCCTTCGATCCTATTTATAAGCTTCAATTTGTTGTTTATCTTAACATTTAATACGTTTTTTTTTCTAATTTTACCCTTAATTATTTATTTTCTCTCGTGGCTATAATATCTCTTATCACATTTTTCTACACATTCTCTTTCATATTTTTTCTCATTTATTATAAGGACATATTTAGAAATAAAAGTATATTTCTAACCTATTTATTGTTTTTAACTAATTTTAACTAATTGTCCGTTATCCACAAATTAGTTATTGGAAGCTTATAATAAAGGCCGGGGGGAGTATGGTCTAATATTACAAAGAGATATTTTAGACAGATTATGTTACATTAATTGAAATTAAATAATTTATTTAGCTTATTTAGTCCATCAAAATAAGTTAAGGAGCTGTTAATTTCTGTACTATGTAGTAGTATTCCTCAAATTCAATGTGCAGCGACGGGTAGTGTTGTCATTTAGATAATTTGATCCAACAAAGTGGGACCCGTGCCAGCCTTCTTAGAAAGATCCTTCTATGAATCATCATCAAATGGAAGCCATGTGTAGGAGACAGCATTTCGCACTGGTCGTTCATCATGTGAATTTCGCTATTCGCGGAGATCTGTTTGGCGTTGTTTTGTTATTATACGAGTATTAACATCTCTTCCACCCAACGACACCTCTTCCCGGGAATCAATTTGCCATACTTCCATGTTACTTAACTATTTAGGATCCTTCCAGTGGCATTCTCATAGTTTCATCTCAATCTCAGTGGCACTTTCATCAACCAACCCAAATATAAACCATTCTCACCCTCGCTCATTGATCATCACAACACTTCCTCTCTCTCTCAAACTCAGTGGAACTTCCTTCTCTGTTCAATTTGTGCTTCAGAATGCAGAAGCTTGAATTTCTATTGCTGCTATTCCTAGCTATCTGCCACACCACTTTTTCAATCCGAGATGGTAATAACCTCTATATCCATATTACGTATAGCTGTGATCAAAAGATTCCTATGTGTTTGACAAATTACCCCAAGGAAGAATACTCATTCATTTATGTTGTATGATCTAAAATTTTTCAGGTTTACTTCCCAATGGTGATTTTGAGCTTGGCCCTGAACCATCACAAATGAAGGGCACAGAAGTCATAGCTCGCAATGCCATACCCAAATGGTCCATTTCTGGGTTCGTTGAATACATAAAAGCAGGCCAGAAACAAGGCGACATGCTTCTCCTTGTGCCTGAGGGATATACTGCGGTTAGGCTTGGGAATGAAGCTTCCATCAAGCAGAAAGTGAAGCTTGTGAAGGGAATGTTCTATGCCATAACTTTTAGTGCAGGTCGGACATGTGCACAAGAGGAGAAGATCAATGTGACAGTGATACCCACAAGTGAGAAGAGCGACTGGGGTGTGTTTCCCATCCAGACAGTTTATAGCAGCAAGGGCTGGGATGCTTATTCATGTGGGTTCAGAGCAGATTATCCAGAAGCGGAGATTGTGATCCATAATCCTGGTTTGGAGGAAGATCCTGCTTGTGGACCCATCATTGACTCTGTTGCCATCAAGGCCTTGTACCCCTCTAGAAGAACAAAAGGTGAATTCTCTCACCAAAAACTCAACCATCATGCTTACTTCTTTGCATTAAAACAATTTGATAACAGACGTTTGAAGAACTTATCAGTAACTTTTTAATCTGATGTATTTGAAACAACTGAACTCTCATATAGACTCTGGTTAATTGGATTACTTATGTTGCATTGTATGTTTCAGATAATTTGCTGAAAAATGGAAACTTTGAGGAAGGACCATATGTGTTCCCAAAGACAGATGGTGGGGTTCTGCTTCCACCTAACATCGAGGATGCTCACAGTCCATTACCAGGATGGATGATAGAGTCTCTCAAAGCTGTGAAGTACATTGACTCTGATCACTTCTCTGTGCCCAAGGGCAAAAGAGCCATTGAACTTGTTGCAGGCAGAGAGAGCGCCATTTCACAAACTGTCAGAACTCAAAGTGGCAAGACTTATGATCTGTCATTTGCTGTGGGTGATGCAAACAACTCTTGTGAAGGTTCCATGTCTGTGGAGGCATTTGCAGGCAAAGAAACTGTGAAGGTTTCTTATGCTTCTAAAGGCAAAGGAGGGTTCACAAGAGGGAAGCTTCGATTCAAGGCAGTGTCCTCTCGCACTCGCATTACCTTCTTTAGCACGTTTTACAGCATGAAGACTGATGGCTCCCTCTGTGGACCTGTTTTAGATGATGCTAGATTAGTTGGTGTTCGTTATTTTAAGCATCCTTGATTGGTTTGATTGTAAATTACGAGTTTGTGCATTGCGAAGACAGATCCATCACATCACCAAATTCAAATTTGTAAGCCATTTGTAACTTCAAAAGTTGATTCGTTTATTCAATTATAAATCTCCTACATATTAGTTGTCATCAGCCCGTGTTAGAGGCACATGTTTTAACCCATTTGGTGTACAGATAATCCCTTGAATTTTTTTGCCCTTAAAATACCACTGTCGGTTTCATTAAAATAATGGAGTTAGTAAAAAGGAACAAAAATATATTTCTTCATGCATCGTTTAACTCTTATTGTCAATTATGTGACACATGGTCCAAGAGACAATGCATCATATCCGGTACTTGGGCATGTGATATCATTGGTTTGGATCTCTCTGAAGCTTCAATATGGAGCATCTACGTGAACAGTTATTAACAGACTAGGAGAATCAATATGGCGAGCCTACCAATCTGAGACAAGTGGAACGGCTTTGTTAGAGTCTATATATATATATATATATATATATATTGTAAGAAAGGAAAGCTAAGACACTACTCTACTACAACAGGAAGTAAAGGCTAAACATTAGAACTCAAAATGCAAGTTACAGTTAATAGTTTGCAAAACGGACATTTGTAGAACTGAAACTAATTTTATTTACCTGACTTGCATTTACAAAACTAGCTTTTCACCATGTGTATACATAAACAGACCCTGACAAGTAGCCAAGCATTAGTTGGGATGAGTCCATTTTCTGAATGTCCTTTTGACTCACAAAAGTAGAATCCAAACATGCACATAGAAACTCTGGTTTAATGGGGATAAGAAGTGTCTGAAAACAATGAGGTCTCTGCAATTGCTGTTCTGCAGAATTCTGAACGATGATCTTGTAGGGAACGTTTACTAGCAAGTTATATAAGAATGCTGATGTATATTATCTGGTTCTCGTTAAAAACAGTACGCACATAATAGTTTTAGTTATGGCTTGAAGGGAGAGTAAACTGAGGCTTGACTTTGTTCTTCATGGTCTGAGGCAGCCTCTAGTTCCGTTAGTACAACTACATATAATTGCTGGGAGCACGTAAATTAAAGTTGCTAGCTAGTTCGTGAGTCTAAAACTGCTACTCATTCAATAGCATATACTACCTGCAGAGAGCCAGACAAAAGGATCTCGATACTAAATATAAATATAACATTTCAACTCATTATGTTTCTCAAGTTTATAATTTTCTTCTCAAAATAGTCCCTATGATTATTGTACATATTAAGAGGTTTCTATTAAAGAATAGTTTGAATACTTATGATTATTAAAGATATTTTAGGAAAGATATTACCTATTGATTACAAATAACTAACTTGTAATTTTCTTAAAATCAAAAGATTAGTTATCTAACTTTTCTATTGGGGATAGAAGGTAATGCAATTTTACATCCACTAAAGACATAACAGATATATTTGTATTACATGGATGAAAATAGTATTTGGAATTTTGATCTATTTTGATTTTAGTCTTTGAAATTTCAAACCTATGGTTTTAGCTCTGAAAATTTAATCCGTCCAAAAATGTTAGTTCTTAAAGATGTAGCAATATTAAAATCTACTAAAGTGCCATAAATGGCATTGGAAGTGTGATCCAAACTCACTAGAGGGCACCTAATTGAATCTTATATAGATCGCAAGGGAAAACAAGATTAGGTCCTCAAAACGTATAACAGAATTATACAAAAAGGATGAGTTTTTAAAATATAACGCAGTGAACAACTTCTAAACCAATGCATCAATTCCCTTTTTTATAATCATTCTCTATGCTACGTTTTGAGGATTTTTTTTTCCATTATCTATATAAGATCCAACTAGGTGCTATTTGTTGAGTCCGTATCACTATTTAGTGTTGTTTATAACAATTCAACATATTTTAATATCATTACACCTCCAAGGACTAGCGTTTTAAGATAGGTTAAATTTTAATGACTAAAACCATGTGTTTGAAATTTGAGAGGTTAAAACCAAAATAGACTCAAATTTTAAGGACAAAAAATTGTATTAACCTTGTGTGCATGGAATAAAATACACTTGCCTTCCCTCCCTATATTTTACCTTATTATAAAGACCTATCTCTCCATTTGTTAGGATTAAGTAATTATTTAGTTTTTTCTTTTCAATCTTCCTAAACTAGTTAATTAACTCTTACATTATGAACGAGACCAATACTAAAAAAGAAAAAAAATGAAATGTAATTTTGCTTATTAATTAAAACCGAAATAGTAATTGTATGTAATTGATCATCCATTCAAACGCACTGTTTGAATCTAAGAGGCACATACACACGCAAACCCCACATGTGATCGTGTTTCTGATTGCTTCCTAATAATCTTACAAAAATGAAATTATATTGCCAATATTGCGCCTCATCATTCAATATACTGTGTTGATACCAATACCATTATATCAATATATATAACCTACAAACTTAACGTGAAATTGATTTGATGTGTTTCGCCTGTGAATATAGTACAGTTTAAGTTATTTGGCATGTATTTGGGTGTTAAGTATATTGTTTTTTTGGCATAATAATAATAATAAAACATTTATTGTCAAAGGTAGTGGGTTTTACTATATAATTTTGTCACAAATATGCCTTTCCATGTAGCAACATGATTTTTAGTTTATTAATTAATTAATGCCAAAAATATCATCAGCATAAAATAATAAATATGAAATCAAAAATTAGCGGCTATTTGGTAGGCAGAAGGAAGACACACTCAATCCTAATCCCAGAATACACATGGCTTATTTGAGAAATAATCCCACGAACACATTATTTATGGCCCAATTATAAGATTTGGCTGCTTCTCACCCCATAATTCACTAAACTATAGGGATTTGAATTTGTTATCTTATTATTATATTCATCAAATTCAATGTAGGGAGGGGTGGTCTTGTCATTTTGACCCAACAAAGTTGGACCCGTCCCAACCTTCTCAGAAAGATCTTGATACAGTCATTTAATCAGTATTGTAACACAAAAATTTGAACACAAGAAACAACGTTTGGCATTGTCTATTGGTGACATACTTGGCTGTGATGATCTGTTTGGGATTATACTATTAACATCTCTTCCACAAAACGCCACCTTTTCTAGAGAATCAATTGCCAGACTTCCATGTTACACATAAGAGTTTAGGATCTTTCCAGTGGCATTCTCATAGTTTCATCTCAATCTCAGTGGCATTTTCATAAAGCAACTCAAATATAAACCATTGTCACCCTCATCCATTCATCTCCACAACACCTTCTCTCTGCCGTGTGAACCTTTAATTTTCATTCTCTGTTCAATTCTTTCTTCACAATGCAGAAGCTTCAATTAGTATTGCTGCTATTTGTAGCAACATGCCACGCCACTTTTTCTTTACGTGATGGTAATTAATAACGTCTCTGAATCAATATTGTATTTAGATATATTTGTGGCCCATGAAGAACTCAAGATTCCAATGTGTTTGATAAATTACCCCATTGAAGAGTACTCACTATTTTGTGTTATTACATGGTTGAATTTTTCAGGTTTGCTTCCCAATGGCGACTTTGAGCTTGGTCCTGAACCATCACAAATGAAGGGAACAGAAGTCATAGCGCGCAACGCCATACCCAAATGGACAATTTCTGGGTTCGTTGAATACATAAAAGCAGGACAGAAACAAGGCGACATGATGCTTCTTGTGCCTGAGGGAGCCACGGCTGTGAGGCTAGGGAATGAAGCTTCCATTAAACAGAAGTTGCAGCTTGTGAAGGGAATGTACTACTCCATAACGTTCATCGCAGGTCGTACTTGTGCACAAGACGAGAAGATCAATGTGTCTGTGACTCCCACAAATGAAAAGAATGATTGGGGCGTGTTTCCCATCCAGACAGTTTATAGCAGCAAGGGATGGGATTCTTATGCTTGTGGGTTCAGAGCAGATTACCCAGAAGTGGAGATTGTGATCCATAATCCTGGTTTGGAAGAACATCCTGCCTGTGGACCCATCATTGACTCTGTTGCCATCAAGGCCTTGTACCCTCCTAGAAGAACAAATGGTAAATTCTTGAGTCCGATGAAGTTTAATTAAACAACTAAACTCTCATATGGACATCCATAGCTCAAATTTGGGCTACAGAGTTTAATTAAACACATCTGTTTTGAATTAATAAACGATAGTTAACTGAATTTCTTGTCTTGCATTGTGCGTTTCAGTGAATCTGCTGAAAAATGAAGACTTTGAGGAAGGACCATATGTGTTGCCAAAGACTGATGGTGGGGTTCTGCTTCCACCCATCATGGAGGATGCTCACAGCCCCTTACCAGGATGGATTATAGAGTCTCTCAAGTCTGTGAAGTACATAGACTCTGATCATTTCTTTGTGCCTAAAGGCAAAAGAGCCGTTGAACTTGTTGCAGGCAGAGAGAGTGCCATTGCACAAATTGTGAGAACTCAAACTGGCAAGACTTATGACCTGTCATTTGCTGTGGGTGATGCAAATAACGCTTGTGAAGGTTCCATGACTGTGGAGGCATTTGCAGGCAAAGAAACTGTGAAGGTTTCTTATGTTTCAAAGGGAAAAGGAGGATTCACAAGGGGGAAGCTTCGATTCAAGGCTGTATCGTCTCGCACTCGCATCACATTCTTGAGCACATTTTACAGTATGAAGACTGATGGCTCGCTTTGTGGACCTGTTCTAGATGATGTCAAATTGCTGAGTGTTCGTTATCTTAGGCATCTTTAAATTCGAATCTGGAAGCCATGTGTAACTCCAAAAGTTGATTCGTTTATTCAATCATAAATATCCTACGTACACATATTGGTTGTCATCAACCCCTGAGTGCGGAGGCATATGTTTGAACCCATTTGATGTATAGATAATCCCTTGAAATTTCGTTTTTTAATTTCAGTCTACCAGTCTGAAACCAGCTGAATGGTTTTGTTGGAGTATGTTTAGTTTACAGTTTGCAGAACGGCCATTTGTCAAACCGAACTACAACAGTATCCATCACTTTGAGCAACTCATTCTCTTGATCGTCATGGACATGAGTTTACTCATTCTTTTGATTCATTTATTAGCCTAAGATTACACACACACA